TTTTGGTGAACTATTCCTTTAATCCAGTTGGGCCAAGCAAAACTGGTGTGGTGCTCTAGTGGGTTAGACCCCATATATAGTGAATGGTTTGCCACTATAATTATACTACAAAATAAATGAGTAACATTTTACTTGAAGCCTTTATGTACAGTATAATGCATTATATCTTCTCATAAAGTCAAAATGAATTATAATATCTGCATATTCCTTGTTACATCTGGTTGTTTGTCATGTGTTTGAATGCGTTATACTTTCTAAAGGTTTAACAATGAATAGATCAGTATTATGATGCATTACAACTGTGGTTACAATTATTCATGGGATCATACAATGCATTATAAGGTGCATTACAATGCTCAATTAATGCATTAAAAATATGTTTATAATGCATTATATAAAAAGGCTTCAAGTGTTACCAAGAAATGCTCCGGGCTCAAAAGTACCCATGGCTGCATTAGCAGGGCATATCATGTGAAAGTTACCATGTGCACATATAGATAAAAACACTGCCCACCGTATGTGCATACTAAAGTTTTTATGCTTGAATGGACCGTCTTGTCAATCTACTAAATTGTATGTCATCACAACACGCTCAATCCATTAGCCACGCATGACCAATGACACCAGATGCGGAGAGACAGTGTCGGATCATTTCAGTGTGGACGCCATCGATTTTTCTGGGACTCAAACTGAATGTCATGATGTGTACAGTAAAACCCGTCCCTGTCACATCCCCTCACTGCCCCATGCGACTTTAAAACAATGGAAAACGCCCTCCACATCAATAAACTTCTGATGAGTAAGTGTTTGCTGTCTGCATTAGGTTTGGATCTTGTCAAGCAGGCACACTCTCTCGTCCCCGTGTCTTACGAGTCTTATTAAAGTATTAGACGCATCCTATCAGTGGGTACGGTCTCGTTTCAATATGGTTTGACTGATGAATGTAGATTAGGAATAGAAGTGTCAAGCCTATTATATTAATGCAGTTACTACAGAATAAAGAACTTTAGTCATGTTTACATCCCCAGTGCTCTCTTAAAACCCAAACACTCATGTACCAAACAATTA